AGAAACTTGGGGACAGGGACCTTGCTTTGTCGGGCAAGGATGATCGGACCAACGGCGCCAATGAGTGAAGCGGCCATGATGATGAAGATGGAGGCAATTCGAAGGCCACGTCGGCCAGCGTCGACGGCCTCGCCGTTGCAAGATTCTTCTTCCGCCATGTCGGTTAAGTTGTAGTGGCGTTGTGGAAGAATTCAAGAATCGATATGAAGAATGTCGGAGGTCGTCCGTGTTATACGTCTGACGGCCAGTGAAACACCTCAGACGAGGATGTCGTGGAGCGCCAAGCTGTCAGAAGAGACGACAACCCCGATGCGGTGACGATCGAAAGGATCAGTGGTGCCAAGGGAAGCCAAGAAGGGAGCGAGGGCGGGAGGCGCTTAGTCGCAGTCTGTGCCACACGGAAGAGTTCGTCTTGGCCTGCAGCGAAGCGACGACAGCTTTATACGCTGCCAAGATGAGGATGATAAAGTCGTGTGGAGAGCTGACAATTCGATTTATTCCCGGTCGTAATGAAGGATGTCCGTCAAGGTTGCAGCAAAGGTGACCTTGATGGCGGCGCACAGCAGGACTTATAGGTCGGGAGCGGATGGGGACGGGAGCGACGCGCAACCGTTTACAGGCGTGTCTTAAGCTTAGCTTCAAGGTTCAAGGGCTCTAGACGATGATGGACTGCCAGGACGGAAGCAAGATGCCGAGCTCAGCCTGGTGATGGTTCAAGACAGCAGGGAAATGGATGTGAATGGGCTGCACAAGAGGGAGGGGACTCGGGGAATGTGAGACTGGCAGGACGGGTGGTGCTCGCTGGGTCCAGAAAAAGGGAACCGGGGGGGAGGGGTTTAACAGGGAGAGGGAAGATCTCTAGGTAGGTAGGTAAACGTCGTGGGGGTGGGAGAGAAGAGGAAACGGGCGTGCCTAGTAATCGTACGTAGGTTTCTCAGGACGAGCAAAGTCGCAAATGTGAAGAACGACGGGCGAGAGAGCAAGAGGAAACGGGGATGATGGATTAGGAAGATAGTGGTTAGATGTGACTGGCAAATCGGTGGCGCACGGGGCTTTTCCTGCTCCGGGTCGTCGTGCCTTACGAGTCTATCGTATGGATGGTGCTACGCGTGTCGAACATCTTTCGAGGGCATTCCCGACGGAACGGCACTGCAACATGAACCACGTTTTTTTTTATCTCCCTCATGAACTCTGTCCCGTTGAACAGAGACACATATTGTACACCCAAGGGAGTCGCACAATCGCCCTCATCGTTGTTCTCCCCGTCCGTGAAGGGCGAAAAATTCGACGGCGGAAAGCCCGAAAGCGTGAAGAGCGGGATAAAGGGAGTTAGGGACTGGCTGGTATTGGCCCGCGTTTCGGTGGGTCATTTTAAGGTGAGGACCTTGATGGCCTCGAGCTGGACAGGGGCACCCCCGTCGCTGGCGCAGGCCTTGCAGCTTTGGGCACTGTGGCTGATGATGGCGACAGCTGACATTTGTTTTTTGGGGGGAGGAATATTGAATATTGAAGGGAAGACGTAGCTAACTATCGATAGACAGATAGATACATGGGGGATGAGCGAAGTCATGTCTTGATTTTCTCAGCCGTGTCTCAGATAAGAAATGGAACTATTTTCAGAGGTTCAGCTGACCACGGCCATTTTCCCTCATCAACCACCACGCTTGGCTGATATCAGCCGTTATTCACTCACCTCGTCACCCCCAGTCACTTAACCTTTCACCGGTGTGGACTACTTCGTACGTATTTCTCCATGTCTCCCGGGCCCTCGAGTCCAACAGACGATGTCCATGTGAAGTCCTCCACAGAGTGTGGCGCAAATCAACAGCCGCTCATCCACCCACTCCCCCCTGCCCATCACACCTCACCTCCATCTCCATCAGCTGCCGCCAGAGCCTCTCAGATGCTCCGTTTTCGACCCGTCAGTCGACATTCTCCTCTCTTGATTGGCGCGTCTGGCCCACCCATCCCGCGGCTCACCAGCCACAAGCGCGTGGGAGGGCTCCATGTCGTTGAGGCCATCAAGGTTCTCATGGCCCATATCGATCATGGCGCTGCCGTCCATCAGTCGAATCCTCCCACGCACCGTCAGCTTAAGAAACACCAGCCAGTCCACCCTCGGATCTCGCGGCAACCACCACAACCCCTCGCTTGGCACCAACTGCTGCTTTGCAAACTTTGATGCGCTAGTCAGACCGGTTTGCATCACATTACGCTTGTTCGTGGTAGTTTGCGTGTAAGTGACACATCCTCCCAAGAGTTCATCTCCATGCATGACGAGGACACCACCATTTCCAAGCAAATCAGGGCACAGAACTGCCATATTTGACAAATAATAACCATGCTGATGATAACCTTTTCTCCATTTAGCCCAGAATAATTCAAATCCATGCTCGGATAGTAGCTCCATGTTTCTAATCGCACATAATCGTACATGTTGAGACTGCATCTTCCCTCCTGCGCCTATCATATGCTTAAACCCACCCTTACTTAACCCATTCATTCCCGTAGTCTGACCGAGACAAGAAGCGTCTGAAGCCTTTGCAGGCTTCGAACCAGGTAGGCGGCTCCGAATACACCCCACGGTTCTCCCTCAACGCCTGGCAACTTTCAAACGGTCAGTAAAGCCGTCGACGTAGGCGTTGACCGTGGTGGATCATCCCACGTTGGTGCCAGTGTTGTTTCGGCGTTGGCTGACGACTCTCATACGCTCGGTCGCCTTTATCCCGGTATCTTCTATGCGCCAGGTCTGTGGTCCGACTCGGCCAATAACACCGCACTTGTTGTCTTCTCTTTTACGTCTTCGAGCCAGAATTCATCTCTTCCAGGGTTGTTATGACGAGAACTGGATTTCTAAGCCAAGAGTTCGAAACGGTTTATCCAGCTTCCTCAGATCGATTCCACTTCCTAAACTGAACAGGAGTGATTTGACGCGCCCCTCCCAGAGTACACCGATACGGAGATTCTGATCCAGTCGCGTCTTCAATACCCCGGCATACTTTTCTTCACCGGGCTTCTCATCCTCGACTGGTTCCGGAACAGGAACTGGTTTGACAACTGGCTTGACAACTGACTTGATCACCGGTTTGATCACTGGCTCTGGATCATCCAGTCGCCACTCCAATTTCGCTTGGAAGCTGCGTTCTTTCCGTTGTTCGTTCTGGTCCTTCTGGTCTTTCTGGTCCTTTTGGTCCTTGCGGTCTTTCTGGTCCTTGTGGTTCTTGTGGGCTTTCTGGCCCTTGCGGTCTTTCAGGTCTTTCGGGTCTTTCAGGTCTTTCAGGTCTTTCTGTACTTTCTGGACTTTATCGTCTTTCTGAGCCTTCGACTCTTTCATCTCGTCGTCCTCAAGGACAGGTCTCACGAATGGTTTCCGCCAGAGTTCCATACCAATAGCCCAGGAGCTTTCGTAGCTGAATATGTTGAACTCCATCCGCGACGCTAAGCTGCAATGCTTGCCGGCCACCACTGCATAGCTTGCACTGATATTTCCCATCAGTGGGTTAAGCGTGAGGGTCGCAGACAGTGGCGTCCCTTTGTGAGACGGGAGCGTCGCAAACCTGGTCCCCAGGCTAATCCCACCCGACTTGTTCAGTGTTCCGTAATAAATTTCTCCACCTGTGCTGAATCGTCCATAGATTCTTTCTCTCTCGCCATTTCCGTTCTCAGTGGGACTCGGTGAGGGGTGCATGTCCGCGTCTCCGCCGAAATTATACACTCCTCTGAATCCCAAAAGTCCTCCATCGGAGGATGCGAGCCCCTCAAGCGCATATTTACCCACGTCGTACTGAGCCAGTCCCAAGACCGTGCCTCCATTTCTAAGGTGCTGGGCTGACACCGCGCTCAGCTGAACCTGGAGGGCAGGCGTAAATCGTTTCACCACCAGTGCTTCAAGCAAGGATTGGGGTAGGTATAGTCGGCCGTACAGCAGAGATGACTCCGGTTTGTTCTGTGGGGTCTGAAGCCATGGTTCGGTCCGTCGGGGGAGCTCAGCAAGGGGTTGATATGAGCGCAGAAGATCGGGGAGGGATACAGTCTCGGATTGAGGCGTCAAGAGGAGTCGGAGCGGGACTGAAGAAAAGAGGTACGAGATGGAGCCGTCGACGATGCCGACAGAACCGAGTTGGTATGATGTCGCAAAGTTCGGGCTCGCGAGGGCAGAGAGGGTGAGTCGTAGACCGCGGGGAGTCTGAAAGTTCAGGAGAGCTAACGGAAAGGGCAATCAGCAGGGTAGGGCAATTGATCGAATCGTGATGCTCACCATCGGTGGTCGAATTCAGCGCCGCATACGAGTTGTCGCGGTTCCAGCCGGTGGCTTCGTAGAAGGCGCTGTGGACATAGTCCATGAACTCGCGCATTTCAACGTGATGTTTGCATAGGTGCTTTAGGCGCGAGTGACCGTGGTGGAGGTGTTCAAGTGAAGGGTACGTCTACTCTGCAAGCAGCTGAGATGCGACAGATGTTTGTTTGGTGACGTCGCTTTGCCAGTGGCGTTCTTACCGGCAGATTACCGGCGGATTCGTTAGACGACTACGCGATAAGACCGATAAGAAGATCCAGCCAGAGCTACCCTAAACTTTGGACAGAAGATGATGAAAACCAAATCTCAACCTTCAACAGGCCTGAATTGCTTACTTGGGCTAGCTGGGGGTATCAGTAGCCCATTGGATGGCCTGTATTCCTCCTTTTAATGTTTTATACGAAGCATCGCGTGACTTAGGCACATCTTCTGATGTATCGTGCATTTGAATCAACTACTCACTTATCCAAGCATATTCCAATTGACACATCCTCGTTGGAAGTACCCAGTGTTCTAGTCAGCGACAACAGCCGAGATGCATTTGTGCTTTTTACCTTTAATTTACAACCGTTTTTGGAGTAATTGCCACCAGTATCGAAGAATGGAAGTGCAAATTGCCAGGCCAAACTGCGATACTTGATGGCCAGCTTGAACGGAGGAGTCTATAGGTTGCTTGAATTGCGCCGACTTTCAACATTCACCATCCGGTGTAGTGTAACGGTTAACATACCGCGTTTTCAAATCACGTGATACATCATGTGTCAGATCCGCGGCGCTCGGGGTTCGATTCCCCGCACCGGAGAACAACCCATCCATGGGATATTCTTTTTTCTATGGACATCTCTTTTTGCTGTACCTGTTTGAGGTTGAAACCCAAATATGTCGGTGATGATGAATTTGCGTAGTGCTAACGTTTGCAGGACTGAGATGTGAATAGGACGTTTCTTCGGTGAGAGGAATACGAGAGAGCATTGTTAGCATCTCGGCATTCGATCGCAGAGCCAACAGTTTGTTAGTGAAGTTTTGATGAACGAATATTTCCATCCACGTGCTTATAATAGGTACGTTGCAAAGATAAGGACACGTAGATTCCTATGGCTGCGCATTTCTAACTTGAATAGATACTGTAATTGACCTCCATCAATTCTAAAAAGGCAGTGCTAGGGGTGCCCGAAGCAAGCTGCCTTGCGTAGGTAGGTAGGTAAATTTTTGGTCAGGCAAACGAAACTAAAATGATACATATATTCGAGTCCTCAACAGATCATCTGAGCTCTGCGCTGCTCACTTTATTATTAGAGGCACTCCCTGTTAGGGATTAGTGATGTTATGAGGCCTCCCAAGTGCACTTCTGTACTCGTGTGCTACCCTTAGTAAGATTAACTCTGGTTCTAATTCATAATATCACAGTATTAAGGTGTTAATTCTATAGAAAAGCTACAGTACCTTTTTCGCTTCACGATGGCTTGGTCGTGAGATGGGCAAGCTTGGTCGAGTTTGCCCAAGTTGAAAGTACCCTCCTGTCATCTTATTGACTGATCTCCTCCCGAAGTCACCTTTTTGCATGTTGCGAACAAGCCCGTCAAAAGTGGCTCAAGAGTTTGCTCGAATATGGCTCGTATCATAAAAGATTGCAATAACGAGGCGTGGCAGATATCTTGGTGAAACTGGGTGACTTGAAGTAAATAGGTGTGTCTTCATGAACTGAACCTTCTGGCATCCACGCAGGATAATGTCAGCTCACTGATACTATCGCTAATGTGTTCTTATCCCCCTTGATGGGATGTGAAGTTTAGAGATCCTCATTTGCTGACGAAGGGCATCGGGAAGCTCCCCAACGACACGAGGTTAGGAGTAAGGCTAGGGACAAGGTTGGAAGTGAGGGCACCTTATTCAAGGTATTATCATCGAAACCATCACCGAGCATGAAAATAGTGTCTAATACCCTATGAAACTCTGGCATCGTTTTCACCTAGAGTTCGCAATGAGTGAGTCACTTCCAACCTTACCAAAATGTAGTATTTAAGCCCCCGAGCTGAGCCCCAAAATGGGCCATCTCAAACATCAACACACCACATTCCAAACAGCACAAAAGCGCATACGACTACGCGAGAACCATGGAGGCGTCCGGAGTAGATCACATTTTGTTCGAATAGTACGTCTTTTATCCTATATTTGAAGGATTCGTGTGGCAGAAGAATGAGAGAGTCCTGCCTGATGATCTACCTGACCACTTGGCCAATTCAATTCAGGACTTTGTCAAGTTTGTGAGAGAGTCGGCATCGTGCACTACCATATCATATAAGCGTAAGTAACCCAAGAGGAGTTGAAGGTCGGGCTTGCTGACTTCATAAAGAATATATCGCTGTGTTAAGGCCTATACTGGACCGACTGGATGCGAGGGAGTTGTACGAGGTTCTGACCAGAATGTATCGGGAGAAGCACCGGCGACGCGAAAACAGTGATGAACTGTAGTGGTTTCAACATGTACATTAATTTGAGCTAGAATCTATCTCTGTCTAACTTCTCCATTCTCAGAATTCCTGTACTGATGCTGATGGTGACGAGTCGCGCTCGATATAGCATGTAGGCTTACTGGCCGAAGCCCTTCCTGAGCAGGTATGTGAGTGCATGTATGCGATAAGCAGCCTCGAGAGATTACTGTTTGTAAGAATTTCCAGATGGCGCTCCTCAGTTTTACGAAACCAAGTAGTTCTTAAGGTTACCTGACCTTGTCTCGATCGTTCTCCCTGATACTTGTTTTACGTTTCAACTGGTTGACACGAGAAACAGTCTTGTCATGACACGCAAGCGAGGATTGAAGTGAGCGACGGCTCAGAGGAGAGATAAATTATATGCCACGTTACAAGGAATTACATCAACATACTGAAATGTGAAATACAAGTGCAGTGGGATAGGTAGATAGATGAGAATACCTACGGAAGCTCGAGGCATAATTAAGTAATGTCATCTAGTGATTCCCACTTGGATCGAACATCATTCCTGATAAAAACACCGGCCGTATTAACACTCTAGTTACATGTATAGTCTACAAGATCTGGGCGCCGCAACGATAGAGCCTTTGCCTGGGCGCATGATTGCTTTGGTGATGGGCGAGGTGGAGGATATATCCTAAAAATGACCAACTTGCTGCATATTCGGATGCGCCGGCTACTTATGATGGCGACTTTTAACGAGCGACTGCCACACAAAGAAGCCTTCAACCGGCATTTCACGAAAGTCTTTGTGACAACTTATTAGCTCGCTATATGACACCATCAACTTCCTCCCCGACCGACTAGACAATGCCACCAACGAATGGACGCCGTCCTTTTGTCCTAGACCCAGCAGCAACCTCTAACACTGGCGAGACTGATGATGACTTTGGACTCTGCAATAGCCGTCCTGACACCTTGCTGATGCCACTAATTGAAGTCTTAACTACGAGCCTCTATGTACTGTTTATTAGATAGAGAAGACAAGTGACTTCGGGCTGCCTCAAAATAGTTTGACCGTGGCTTCTACCCCAAGACGTTTGGGCCAGTTGCGGCACTCAAAGGAACGAAGATAGGGGTCCGACATGTGCTAGATGAACTCACAGATAAAGCAGAAGATGAAAGATGCATGTTCATAATGCATGGTTGAAGAGCAATTACTTTCCATGTAACAGGGACATGTTAATCCCCGTTCGCGCTCAGGTGGAGATGTTGCGGTCCGGGTCAAAACGTATTCTTGACTCCTCGCCATCGGCCATTCCCGTCATCACTGACAGAGCGAGAGACACAGACAACGGCCGCCAATGAAGCCGAGAGTGGCCACGGGAGTCTGAAGAAGTTACATCGCCTAAGGAGTCTGACCGATGGTCTAAACAGGGCAGCGCCCTGGGATGATTTGGCCGCTCACTCCCGGAAAGGAGCCCGAGTAAGAGGCCAGGACTGACAGGACGATAAGACCAAATGTGTTACACCATTGCAGTATAGGGGGCACTCGGGTGAGATTACGCACAAACAGGGCGGTGAGATCAAGGGCGTTGACCTGTCCCGGTCAAGGAGTGCTGATGCCACGGTGACGAACGTGTCTAGATGAGATTCTCACAAATGGAGAAGGCAAGGGATCACTCGTTTTGGACTGGGCACTTCGTTATATCCCTGTCTCAGGCCGAACCAAGAGGCAGTTCAAGGACCATCGGGTGTCAAAGAGCCCGAACCTTTACACGATGGGCACGATAGCGATGCGATTGCTTCACACTCCCACTCCGCGAGCCGCTGGGAACGCTGGACGGCTGCCTCCAGGTCTGTCGTCGCCCGCTCACAGGGCACGGGGGCAAAGGGAGATACGAGCGACTCTGGCTTTCACGTCAAGGGCTCAATTGAGTTCAATAGCCCTGCCTCGTACACGGAGAAATTCTGTCCTCCAAAGGTCTCGCCGAAGATGATGCATGCGGGCAGGGACCTCGGCCAAGGCGATGTGCGCCAGCATCGAACAAGTTAGCATCCAGTCTTTGCACAAAAACACAAAAACACACGATAAGGCCCATGGGATGTTGCTCATCTTATTCTCACTCCAATGGCGGTCGAGAGACCAGGGGCGACGGATGTTCAAAGTAGTGTCAGATTAAGGAGCGATGCCATCAAGTTTCTGAGTGCGACGATTGAAGGGGGACGGCAAATGAAGTCGGAAACCAATGACAAGATGAGAGGACCGGCTCATCAGGAGGAGTTACGCCGTACAGCAGCAACAACAGAAAAAAGAGAGGGCAAAAAAGGAGAGAAGGCCGAACGAATGGCTCTGATTTCAGATATGTTTCTCGCAAGGGGTGTTTTGCGGAAGGCCAATCGCTTCGGCGCATCCACGCGGCACGGTAATGAAGACACCATCTTTGCAACCTCGGAGCCGCAGTTACAGGGGCTAAGAATAAGTCTAGTCGTTCGGATGTCTCTCGCCTGTGACTGAGGAGAAAGTGTTGGGGTTTTTGGAGACGAAGTGGTGAAGAAATGTTTATCCCCCCCCCCCTTTTTGCGGAGAAGCGGGGAAATGAGGGATGGAATCTGAGATGTGAAATGTCACACCCCGCAGGGGGAAGACCAAATGAGCAAAAGAAAAAGAAAGGAAAGATCTTATGCGAGTTTGCTTTTGAACATGACCATCATTGTGTTAAAATCGCATCTTTGAAAAGGGGAGGAGAGGGGGAGGGGGATTGGGGGCGGGATCTGACGCCAAAACCCCCGAGTCCTTGCATGAAGAAGAACCCTGTGGCACACACACACACACACACACAGCCCTCTCCTCTCATCAGAGTTTCCTTACGTCGTGCTTGTTCCCCCCCTCAAAAACCAGCCTGGCTACTTGGTAGCAGCAGCCGCAGGAATCGCATTGCATGCATGTCCACTTGGAACGCGGGAGTTGGCCTGCATCCAGGTCGTCGGTGGTGTGGAATGTGACAGAGTCGGCGTGCCAGCCCGTCGTGGCTTGACCGGTCAGCTCCAGAAACGTAGTGATCGACGCTCAGAGGCGAGCCGTCTTTAGAATCGAGGCTGACAGTGACGCTTCGAATAAGTCTCGAAGACGCCCATGTTCTGTCTGACAGCACCCCGAACCAGTTTAGTCATGCAAGGCGCTGACTCCTGGGATGCCCTCAGACTTCACATGGCCGCTGCTTGACTCGCCAGAGACGCTGCTTTTCGTCCTTCGCCCGGACTTTAATCCCCGCGAACATGATGATTCTCTGGGGTAACGTCGGGGGCATCGGATGAACCAAGTTGTTGTTGTTCTTCAAGATTCTCCCGGGGGAGCCCTTGTTGTTGG